TCATAATAGCGTAGTTTGCACTGTACTTGCGCAAATAATTATCAAGGCCGGGCCATTTACGCAAGTACTTTCGATTCGACGGAACCGTCCAGTCAAAAATTGACTTTACCTTAGCGGGATCCGCTCGAAGGCCACGCTTTCTAATGAAGCACCCGAGAAAGGAAATTTTTCTGCACCAAAAATGCATTTCGATGCATTTGCATATATCTGGTTTGTCCGCATGCACTCGAGCACTGCTCGTAAATTGTCAATTTGATTGTCCACATCTAGTGTGCCATGTTATACACGGCTACGGACAAAGATGTCATCGAAAAAGCTTTGTGCACATCCTTGGTGAGGTCGGAACAATTGCGTCACAAGACGATAAAATGTAGCCGGGGCATTAAACAGCCCTTGAGGCATGACTAGCTACTCCTAAAACATACCGCTTGGAGTATTAATTGCTGTGAGCAGAAATTCACTCGCTCGCATGAGCAATTCGTAATACCCATCGACTACGTCGAGTCCACTGAACATGGTACAACCTACCATAGCGTTCTGGAGAACACACTTTCTAGGGATAGGCATCTGTGCCGGTATAGTGGCTGCGCTAAGATAATTGTAAGCATGCACAATGCGCTACTTGCCATTTGGCTTCCTAACACAAATGTCGGTATCGAGTGCGGAGACTTGCTCTCAGGCACCATGCTAGCCGAGAGCTTGCACAAAATAACTCGCCAATGGCGTTATACTTTCCTTTTGGTATTTGCCATTGCCATGTCACGCAGTATTTGGATCCAGGAACCAGGTCAATTTTATAGCGTACACCTCGACCAGGAGGCAGAGTGGAAGGAGGATCGTACAAACCACATCCTGAAACTCCTTAAGCAAAGGATAAACGGGTTTTTAGGATCTTTCACGATCGATGATCCACTTCTAGCACTCAGTGCCGCCTTTGTGTCTTCCAACTCAACCTCGCCAAGAAGTGACGACGAGTTCAACTCACTATAGGATCCAATGATCACCACTTCAGATAAATCGACGACTACAAGGTCAGGCCAAACTCATCGAAAGACATTCCGTCTAGCTCTAACAGAGTATTTAGTGAGGGTAGAGTCTCAAGACTGACTGATCTGTCAACGTCACCAGTCACTCCATTAACGAGTGTATATAGCTGATCGATAGTATCACTCAGTGACGTAACAGACGCCTTGCGTTTCATAGCATCACGATGGCGTCGCTTTCGTCTCTGCGACGAGACTGAATGTCTTAAGGAAGCTGGAACTTTCTCGCTCCCAAGGTTGATTACATCATCATCCTTAACTTGCTCTGTACAAGAGAGGGTGTCAGTACCGACACCCGAGACATCAATGTCCCCAAGATATAACAGACCGTCAACCTTAAGTTGCTCATTACCATAGCCGATATCATTACCGACATCCAGGACTATACCGCCCCCAAGGTGACGAACCGCGTCAACCTTCACTTTGCCCAAATTCAGATCCGATAACATTACCGACATCTGAGACGAAACTGTCCCTAAGGTGACGAACGGCGACAGCCTTAATTTGCCTAATATCAGGATCGATGTCATTGCCAACATCTGAGACTACACTGTCCCAAAACTTACGAACTGTATAAACCTAAACTCAATCTATTTCCAATACGATGTCATCACCGGCATCTGGTGATGAGTCACTTTCAGTGAGAACACCACCCAGTGCGTACTTACATGCAACTCCACGCTGATCAGATAGGCTCAACTCATGATGGCTCGGCTCTAGGCCAACAATGCATTCAGCATTCAGTAATTCGCTATCACAACAATTATCACATGACGGAGTACGTGCCGTCCCACTATCAGTCATTGTTCTTGGCTCAGAACTGACCGGTTCGACATCTATTAACTTAGTAAGTTCAGCCATACCTACGACCAGCACACTGACTGTCTCAGTCCGTGTCTCGCGCCAATAGCATTTCGATTTTCTGGCAGAGGTGGTCTCATGTATCTCCAAAGCTCCACTAGGAACAGTGTGTGTTGCGTTTAAGGTCTTTGACCTTCAATCAATCCATGGATCATGGCGTTCTAGCCTAGGCATACCAAGGATAAGATCATATCTCTCATCCAAGTCAAGGACTAGACAGTGTTCGATACTGTCAAAGTCCGCAAACTTAAAGCTCAAAAACTTTATTCACAGGGGTGAATTCACCTGTCGCCAAGCGAACAGTTTCATTCTTATTCTTTGCGCATTCAGCGCCTCATCATGACTAGCTGTCAGGGTAAAACGTCGGACATAGTTTCTCGAATACCCGAAGTAGATCAATATCGATCATGACATATCAATGCCCTTAGCCGTTGGTTTTGCAATTAACAAGCCTGGCTTATACTTAAGCTTCGTGACATCGTGCACGAAGTCACTTGGGGCTAGGCCCTGTTCTCCATCACCTCCCATAGGTACAATAGAGCCTAAATCCTTCCCAGCAGGGCGCCCCGCGCCTACTGGGACTCGAAGTTTCCTCGCGCTATACCGACTTGTTGGTTAGAGAGAGGGAGGTCAGTTTAAACAAGCCTGTCTGGTCCTTCTCAAAGGACAATTGGGGGCGAAGATGTTTGATGCTTCCCGCACGTAAAACGTCTACGGATGTTCGAACGCTTTTCGACAGCGTAAAGCTCAGCTTCTTTGTTTGTTTCGGCGAGACTAAGGTCCACGGGTTCTGCCCTATCCATGTAAATGAGCGATTATCGACGAGTTCTAAAGGAAATCATGATTTCCGTAGCTGGCAGCTTGAAAGTTAAACTCTGCATTCAATGCTATGTCCACTGCACCCTCAAATATCATGAATTTTGTACAAAACACTTCTGTTCTGGAAACGCCAGTAGGAAGACCCTGCAAAAAATTGGTTACCAGAACTGTGGTGAAGTCGATCTCACAAAATTGCTTGTATGAGTGTCGATCTTCCACTTGCCTAGACTTGCCGACTCACGGAGGGGGTACTCCGATCCGTGCCTTGTTGTATGACCTTGTGCTCACCTTGTGTACCCGTCGGTTGGGCTGGCTTGAGCTCTTCGTAACGGCCTTGGGGGATGTCGATCTCGCTGAGAGGTTGGGTTGAGGGTTCGCTTCCGGTGCGGAAATCTTCACACCACGAACGGGGGTTCTGCGATCCCGATCTTGGATCGCACCGATCTTGATTTGTCTTCGAGATCGGGGTCTTTGCTGTGCGGAAATCTTCACTCAGCAAATAAAAGTCCTTCGTCGATCTTGCCTTGGGATCGGTCCGATCTGGTCTTGGGATCGGCCGATCTTGCCGGAAGAGCGCAATTTGGGTAGATCGGTGTCTTGTTTCGCCAAAATGAAACGTGCCGATCTGTCCAGGGATCGCTTCGATCCTGCTCGGTCTTGTCTTGAACGCCTTGTCCAGATCTTCTGACCACTTGAGCCGTCTCGCGATCCTGTGTCCAAAATCCTTTTCCTGTTCCGTTGTGTGCTGCTACCCTAGCAGTTAAGTTGAGTGTGAGTACTTGATCGATCCGGGCCAGATATCCCGGGATCGCTCTTCTCGATCTTGGCCAACAATCCAAGATCGGTCTTCTGTGTCCCTGTAACACGCGCGCCTTAACCCGCCGGGGAAGCCAAATCAATCTTGCCTGGAGAAGAGGGGGAGGATAACGTGCGTCGTGAGCAGAAGAAGTAGAGTTCAAGTCTGTTTATTAACCAACCAAATTACTATCCAACCTACCCTTAAGCCTATTTTTAACTATAGGTCACTCTTCAAACCGATATCGCCTTGAATCTGGTTCGCCCCCTTGCCACGTGTCGAAATTTCGTGCCCTGTACTCCAATGATAGCGCCAATATCCCCGATATCGTACCTAGAGCACCAAATGGACCAAAATCTCCTATATGGTACCAAATACCCATTCTTGGCACCCAAGTACCCAATATATGACCCAAAATGCCGAATGTGTCCAAATTCACTTTGCGACGTCGATTCGGACAGCTTCCACTGGCTCTTTCGGCATGAAACTTCTTGACATCACTTAGTGACCTCTATCAAGTATATTCCACATGATCCAGTATCTTCATCAACCATATATTCATGATCAGTGTGGAACATGACCGATCTGTCATCCAATATCGAGATGTTGGAGGTCGATCCGGTCTAAATCGGCAATTAACACTTTTTCATCTCCTCATACGTGCTTCAATATCATCCTCCAGTGTTATCCAATCGACAACTTCATTCATACGTCTCGACATCCGGTTTCCTTGACTCCCCTGAGTAGGCAAAACTTCCAGATCGGTGTATATTTAACCAAAATCAGTACTCCCAATTTAGGATCGGTAAAGAGTATCACCGATCCGTATGGTGTTGCACCTTCTTTGCCGATTCACCGACCCGTACCACCTGGTCCCAGATGCACTTTGGGAGTCACCTTGTCCCCGATGTGTCAATTCTCCAACAAACCGTTGCCACAACATGTCGATCTGCGATCTGATCTTAGCCTGCTTCAATGTACGTATACTTCTTCTTGACCGGCATTCCAATGAGCTGTATGACTTCATCCCGATGTCTGGTTCCAGATCGCCCCATAACATTCTGCAAGATGTTACACCTTCGTCGCAGAGTCATATCCCATCACCCGGTCCCAGATCCTTGTCCCAGATTGTTCCATGTAAATCGTTTCAGATCGCTCCGTCCCAGGTCGATCCATACCCATTAGTCTAACGACAGTTGGATCGGTTCGCCGATCCCGTTAAGATCATCTTCCACCTCCGTATTGGATCGCCGAGTCTCATGGCCTCCTTTTCCACCAGTAAGCGGCGCTTTAAAGGTGTGGCCACCGATCATCGTACAAAATTTGAGTAGTGACTTTGCCACAACCGCCCCCTGTACTGAAGTCTTTTGTACAGCAATTGACCTCAGTACAGTCACTCATCAACTTCGTTCCAAGCACTCAAGTCCGTCTCATGGCCTCTCCGACGCATCCACCCACCTCGCCGATCTCTTCAGAAGGATTCACCATGTTTCTGTCTCCGGATCGCGACCTGTCGCCCGGATCGCCCGATCTCGGAGGACACACCCCAGCGGTCCCCGATCGGCCTGGGTCTCCGCGCCATCTAGGCCCAACCGGATCGCCCACAATCCCCACGGGATCGCCAGATCGACAGCCGACCAGACCCTCGTCTCCATCTCGTCTCCATGCCATCTAGATCGCCGGATCGCGGGTGGTATGCTCCTATCGTCCCAGATCAACATGAGTCTCTCAGTAATCCCAGATCGGTCGGATCGCTCTCGACCGACGCGGAATTATCAGATCGTTCTTCCGAGCCATTTCTGCTTCCCACTCCTCCGGCGGCCCCAGATGCGTCCAGATCCGACATCCCGGCCGCTAATGAATCTCGTGAAAGGTCTGCTCCAGTTGTGGGCGTCACCGGCTTCGTTCCCAGAGTTTCTGCCGACGACGTTCGTCTCACGATGGCCACGATCTCGTATTTGTGGGATCGAGAGGCTACCTTCTGCAGCCAAGCCGACACCATTCATGCGCTTCAGCAGTCCTACCGAGATGCCGTCGCCCGGGGGGATCGCTTACAAGACGAGCTTGATTCGCTGTACAGATCAGCCGACCCTTTTGTCTCCTTCGTCCAGCGTCGACATGACTGGATGCAGGGCCGCTACGTCGATGCAGTGCATTCTTTGAGTGATTGCAATCGAGCTCTGCGGACATATCGAGATCAATCGGAGGACTTTCGTCGGCTACGCACTTTGATACGTGCTAACGACGAGGCTCAGGGGAACTTGGAACGACAGGTGGATGCTTTGGGGCTCAACTTCATTCGCTCCAAGCCGAACTCAATTCTCTCCGACAGCAGCGTGATCAGCTGACCATGGACAGGTCCTTCCTTCACATAGATATTTTGCACTTGAAGGAGCAATTGGCTCAGTCTCAGGAGGAGATCGCAGATGGACTGTCTTCGATCAGCGATCTCATACAACAAGTGGATGGTTTGACTCCCCTAGAGGGTCAGTTGGCACTTTCGCAGGCGGAGAACGCCAACCTACGTCGTCAGCTTGCGGAACACCTCGAGGTACACGACCAGTTGCAGGTGATGGAGCATGATCGGGATCGGGCTATAGCTGAACACCGTGCTCTCCTCGATACACTGAACAGTGCTATACTCGGATCCCGGTCGTCTGCGCTGACCGCTCGATCGACGCCTAAGAGTGCTACTCCGGCCGGATCGCCCCCTGCTCCCACTACCCCGGTATCGAGATCGCTTGCCCGTAGGTCCAGATCGAGATCGTCCGGCCCGCCTGACAAGCGTCGGCGTATTCAACCAAGGTCACGATCCAGAGATTCTTTCACCGCCCGCGTGGCCTCCCAGCTATTGTCGTTGAACCCTTCAATGCCTTTAAACAAACTTCCCAGATTGGCCCCACCCGAGCCTCCACCGAATTCTTCTTGTTCTCCGCTTTCGTCCGCGGCTTCTGGGACTGGATCGGGAAGTGAGGAGCTGACCGAGTCGGATTCTAGCTCGGATGATTTGACTCGTGCTGCATTATCCCAATAGAGATCGGCCGCTCGTCGTCAACCTAGATCGGATGCCCGATCTTCGACCCCGAACCCCTCTCCGGCCGCTCGGGTTGTTCCCGCTTCTCCCGCAGCTACTGCGTTGGCTCAAGCACTGTTGCGTTCGCCTTCTACAGGCGTTCCGAAGCCTCGTTATCTTTCGTACCCATCCACTCCGGTCGCGGCTGTCCCCGTAGTCGAAATTCAAGATAATGGCGGCGTAGAAGACGTGGAGGTATCGCCGACAGGGGAGACCCACAGCGAGACTGGCTCTGTTAGTCCGCCTCCGGAGTCCACTGCGCTTTCGAATCGCCATTCGTCCGATAGCGAAAACAGCATCACCCTTCCGGCGCGCCAAGTGGCTAACAGAGTCTTCTCTTCCGTTGACTTCGACAATCTTCCGCCACTCCAGTAACCACGGGATCGGTGGATTCCCAACTATCTGGCGCCCTCCCGACGAGTAGCTTCCGAGATCGCTCCATGGTCCGTTTCGCGGATCGCGATGGTTTGCGTGAGGACCATGACCATTGAGCTGTTGTGTCACCACTACTCCAAGCCCAGGAATTTTCTGTTTCCCTTCTACAATCATGGACGAGCTCCGCCTACGGGGACTTGGGCTTCTGGGCTGATCTCGCGGCAACACATCGAGGCTCTTTACGCTACAGCCCCTTGGGATAGCATCATAGTCCCAGTGAACCCGATATCGTTCACCATGACTGGGTGGTATCGTGATATGAGTCATCGGTACCTGGAGCTTGAGTTCACTCATCGACAAGCTCTGTGGGAATCCACTCATGCTTTCCCGATTCCTCCGGCTCAACGGTGATCTGAACGGTTCATGCAGACATTCTGGCGCCAACGAAAACAACGCTGTTCTCGCTTTGGAGCGCGTTGGAAGAACTTCTTGAAGATGATACTCAGCGGCATGATCGCTGGCCACTGCGATCTCGACATCTTGCTAGATCCCTTCTTCCTCCACTATCCGCGCCCACATGAAGACCGAGTTTGGTATCCAGGGTTAGGGACACTCTAACGACCCAGCTGACTTGCTAGGGGCGTTGGACATGGCAGACCAAGAGGATCCTTGGCGCAACCAGTTCCGTAACGCCTAGGATTTGGATCATCCCGGATCGCAGATCCCTCGTCTGCAGGACAAGTTCAAACCTGCTCCATCGTCTTAGTCCAAGATCGATATCCAAGCCCGATCGTCTTTCATAATCGTGTAAGTCATTCAATCATCTTCTTTTTGGTACTTCAATTCTTTGCAGCTTCCACGATCTCGATCCTCATCGCTCCACATCATTCAGGAAGGTAATTCACTTGACTATCTCCATACTCACATACAAAAACCTCATCCACCAGCATGTGCTACAGTCTAGCACATCTTTCACCCCTTCATCCGCATATGCTACCTCCCGCTTACTTGTTCGAACTGTTAAGGTTCGTCCGACTTGCCTTCATGAGACTGCATTACGTCGAAACGGTTTCGACTCACTCGGTTCCGCTCAAACTCTTGCAAGATCGCCCCACAACTTAGATCGGCCTCGTCCACCCAACTTAGATCGGGATATCCCTTCCACTTCACCAGAAACTGCCGGTGTACTCGCCCAAAACGGGTTTTTCTACCAGATTGCACGTCCAATATTGCCTCTACTTCGTATTCCCCTTCTTCAAGATCGCCATCCCAACTGTCTTCTGGCAGCAGAGCTTCATCGAAATCCAAGCGATCTGATTCCTCTATCGTAAGCTGATCCTTCGGGCGTTCAGGGAACGTCTTTACCTTTTTTAGCTTCGATATATGTACAATCGGAAATAACCGATATGGGGTTCCAGCGATCTCCAATTTTACAGCATGATCTCCACATACGTCCGCAACTCGGAATGGCCCATGCCACATGTGCGCTAGCTTCTTCGCATATCCCTCTTTAACTCGGTCCAGGTATAGCCAAACTTGCGCTCCTACTTCGATCTCGTGTGGTTCCAGATCTTCGTTGTGTCGATCCGCTCGCTCCTGGATCGCGGCTTGTAAACGATCGTTCACTGCAGATCGGGCTCGCTGGTATTGTCTTTGGATTTTGTATCTCCACCTCTTTGGATCGCGATCTCGTGTCCCCGTATTCCCCACTGGTAGCGTAGCCTCCAAAGTCGATCGCGGGTCCCACCCATGAATCAGATAAAATGGGGTATCCCCCCGGATCTGATCTTGTGCAGTGTTAATGGCAAATGTGAGCCGCTCAGCATACTCATCCCAGTCTCGCTGGCCAACTTCAGCCACGTACATCTTGAGCGAATGTGTCAGGGGTTTGCACCATTCGTTCGGCTGTTCCATTTGCTTGTGGCCTGTAAGCCATAGTAGCACGCTGTTTTTGTCCTACGATCCGATTGGAAGGCTCGAAAGAAGTCGGACATAAATCCCGGTTCTCGATCGTGCCTGATAGCCTCGCTAGCTCCGGAAGCGTCGAAACACACATTCTTCGTAATTCTCCGCTATTGTTTGTGCCGTCCGAGAGGAGCTAGCCTTTGCAATCACATATCCCGAGAAAAGGTCGACCCAAATGAGCAGTTCGGTGTTCCCCTTGATGGACTTGGGCAACGACGGTATATGATCCATGGCGATGAACTGGAATGGATAGGTTGCGTGTAGATTGCCCGGGGATTTCCCACGAATCATCGGGTTTCCTTTCCCGGTCTCACAGTCGGTACATTCGCCCACATATCGTTGAACGCTCCGATACAGTCCTCTCCAATAAAATCGCGATCTGATCCTCTGATAGATTCGGCCAATACCCTGATGGCCTCCTTCCAGACTCGTGTGATAGTGATGCAAAAAATCCCGCTGCAACGTCTCAGGGATCACCAACCGCATCAAATAATCGCGATCTTCCGACTCTCTTTTCGCCATGGGGCAAAAAAATAGCAGATTGTTCTCATCGATCTCGTATTCCGGCGCCAGTTTGGCGCACATCTTCACTTCTACCGCATCCAAGTTTGATGCATCGCCACTTAGATATGTCTTGAGATTGACAATCCCACGCTCTTCATCTTGAGCTTGGAAAATTCGTTGAATCCTGATCCTCTGTACTATCTCCCTCCTGTATCACTTCAGGTTCATGACGTATCCTCCTGGCTGATCTCGCGATCGCAGTTACCCGAGCTAGCTGACCATCTTGCTTGGGCTTCAACAATTCATCGAGACGGTTCATAGTCTTCAGATCTTGCCGATCCTCTTCAGCTACAACCGTTCTTCCCTTTTCGCTCTGCAATGCAGTGCTGGCTAGTCGATCTGCGCTCTGATTCCACTCTCGCTTCATATGCAGAAACTCGTGACTAGGCCATGACTGCAGCTTCTCCAACGCTTTGTGTCTCAGAAGCTGAAGGCCCGGTGCCTTGCAGTCGATCTCACCGCGCATCTGTCGAATCACCAGACTGGAATCTCCACACAGTATTACTCGCCCCCTATCCAGATCGGCGAGTAACTCAAAGCACAGTAGCAAGCCATTATACTCAGCTTCATTCACAGTCAGATCGTGAACATATCTCGATTCGGCCGCCACGATCGTCCATTCGGGTAACTTCCATATCACGGCACTGAACGACCCTCCTTTCTCTTTTATCCTAGCCGATCCATCGAAACTAGCCACCAGCAACTCCTCATCTGTTTCCACCGTTGGAGGAGGCATCGATATTTTGAGTCGACAGTCTTTTCGTGGGGAGATCGCAATCAGCATCTCTTCCACTTCTCCTCTCGGAGTGATACTCGCTGCTAACATGCCCAGGATCTCTTCCTCTCCTCTTTCACATTTCTTCACCTCCATAGTCCAATTTGACAACAAATCAGCCCACCGTCCTAATCTCCCGTTGAGCCCTCGAGACTGCATCAACCAGGCTAACGTAGAATGTCGGGTCAGTACAGTGATCTCCCGCGAGGCAAGCGTAGTATAGCATACATCCAACACACGAAGTAGCGCCAGCACTTCTTTTTCTACCGTTCCGTAGTTAAGCTCATTAGGCTTTAAAGTGCGGCTAGTAAACATAACCGGATGATAAACGCCATCGTACTCCTGTATCAGGGCCGCTGAGACAGCCCACTTGCTAGCGTAGACCACAATTACGGGGGACCGATCTGGGTCGAAATGCTTGAGCATGGGAGCTGTAGCTATCTTAGCTTTTAGCATAGTGAAAGCAACCTTGGCTTCCGTCCATCGACCCTCGTTGGAGCATTCGTCTCCTGCTGCAAGCTGAGATCGGCCGATCTCGAAGAAATCCTTTTCTCTTAACTCATACAACACCGCGGCATACACCGCGAAATCCTCAATGAAGCGACGGTAGTAGTTCAAGCTCCCGAGAAAGGATTGCATAGCTCGTAGCGTGCTAGGAAACGGGATGTTAACCAACGACTCTAGGTTCTTGGGCTGAGCCTCCAGACCATCCATCGACACTCGATGTCCCAAATAATCGACCTTACGGCACCCCCAAAAGCTCTTCGTGAGGCTAATAGACAGATTCCACCTATCTCATGCCTCCAACAACCGTTCTACTTTTTGTGTACAAAGATCCCCATGACGTGGCTGGTATGAGAATATCGTCAATGTAAGATCGGCGTCCCAGTATAGACGGTCGTCGATCTGTCTCAGGCCCTCCATCTTTGAACACGTCGATCGGGCCATCAGAGGCTGATCTCTGACCGATCTTGAGATATCCATACAACGCATTGTCCACCAGACGTTGGTAGATCTGGGGCGCGTTCTTAAGCCCAAAAAGGCATTCGCAGCCACTCGAACAAGCCAAACGGTGTGACAAACGCTGAGATCAGTTTTGCTCGTTCAGTAATTTCGACGACCCAAAATCCACTAGCCATGTCTAACGAGCAGTACCATAGAGCTTTATCCAGATCTTCCAACAGATCGCTGATCAACGGCATGGGATAAACCATCAGACGCGTCAGCTGGTTCACTCTTCGATAATCAATGCAAAGGCGAATATCCACTCCGTTCTTCTTGATGATCACCACTATCGGAGACGCCGAAGGTGACGTGGATGGCTGAACGATTTTGGCTGGTAATAGTCCTTTGATGAGATCTGACAGCTTCTCCCGATATTTGGGTGCGACCGGACACACTCTTTGCGCTATCGGTGCTTCCCCACCGACATCAATATCACAGATCGCGCCTCTGTGCTGGTGGTAGAGCATTACCTTTGCCCATGAGGAGGTGACGGCTCTTCCAGATCAGCGATCTGAGCCGTTGTTGATCTGTGGTGAGAGGCACATCGGGATCACCGATCTGAATGTCCTCAATCGTAACTTCTTCCGTAGTCGCCGACATCTCTGGTAGCACGGCCATATGCTGCTCGATATCTTCCGCAAACAAATCTCCGCTCTCGTGGTGATAAACTGGTATTTCTGCAATCTCGACGTCTTCAGTATTTAGCATTATTTCTTCTTTAGGCTCCTTCGTCTCTTCCGGCTGGCCCAATTTCAACAGTCGGTCAGTCGGCTCAGCCTTCGGTAGAGACGATCTGTCACGTAGCCCTTCTTGACCGGTGTCGCGGTCTCCCTTCGTTGCATGTTGGGTACCGATCTCATGACCGTTCTCCATCCACGATAGTTCGGCTCCTCTGACCGTTACTTCCCTCGCAGCTACAGCATCTGCCTTTTGCGAATCGTCATCGTTAGCTTGCGGCGTTACCGTGGATATCGCCGGAGACAGGTTCTGTGACGCATCAGACGGACGTTTCAAGATGCGTTTGGGAGCGGCATACGTAGGACGGTCTACCAACGGTCCGATCTGTTCTTTCGGGAGTTCGTTCACTCGATCCGTCGTAGCCTCATATGCCAGAGTTTGCCATTCCTTGTACTTCCCTGACCCGACTGTCACCAAACCTTGAGTTCGCGGTACCATATCGCCTTCGACCCACATGCCTAATATAGTGTGGGTGGGCAGTATGATCTCACGGTCGCCAATGTTGGTCATCTGCAGGTATTTCGTCTTACCCCACCCCGAGATCACAGTGGGGACCCAATCCTAGTCCTCTAGCGACCCACAACTTCATCTTAGCCCCTCCGATCCCGATATTCACTTCCCTTGACTCTCCGACCGGGATCACCACGTGTTGGTCCTTCGCCGTTATATGTTGTATCTTCGATCCGTACGCGGGGCGACGTCCTGCGAGATGAATGCGAATTTCTTCTGGTAGACATAGCGCGCCATCCGCTAGATCGAGCCGCACTCCAGCAGGCACCATAAAATCCATACCCAGAATCGCTTCTTGCCCTGCCAGATCGCCTACCCATACATTGAAATAGTATACCAGCGATCCCGCGAGGGTCACCTTGATCTTGGTACGTCCTACCGTCATGTACGGAGTTTCTCCAATCCCGATACATTCTTGTCGTTGACTTTCTTCAATATTGCAACCGACCTCACGAGCAAAGGTGGTGTCAATGATCGACACTTCAGCACCAGAATCAAATAACAGAGTAGCTTTTACGTTGTTGATCTTGCCAACGGCTTTCGCTTGTTTGAACCACTTCCCGGGTGAATAATGTTTCCAGTATCCGCGAGATTCACCATAAGCGAGCTCGATCTCCATAGCTGGTTCAGATCGAGAGTACTCATCGATCCGCTTCAGATGGGACACGGGGGAAGCGACACGTTTTAATCTTCGAACGATATATATTTGTTTCCACGTCAATATCCTGCTTACTCTCGCGATCTGTCTTCTTTTTTCTACGTATGCAACAATGCAGAGCCCAGAACGCTCGGCTCG